ACTGAACAAAATGATTAAATACGAAGGAAGTCATTGAGACGGACCGCGAACTGTACCTTAAAATCGTTAGCGATTAGTCAGCTCTCCGCTAAGGAGACTGTAAAGTTGGGTCGTGGCCTCTGGGGAAAGGGGGGCAGCTACCCCTTCTGGATTTTGGAGCAAAATTAAAAAGTAAGCTTAGCGAATAATCGTAAATAACCCTAACGTGATTTTTTCGTTCACTTATCCGTAAAAGCTTTGTCTCTGACCCACCCTACCACACTATGGACGTCGATCAAGAGCTGCGCCCGACGGTCATCCGTTGAGGCATGAAATTTCTCCCCCCCCCTAGGAATTCAGCCTACGGCCCTGATCTGACTAGCTTAGATTCTTGATCTTTGCCAATCCGTATTGGAATTCTCTCCCTTCCTCTGTAGTTTGTTGCAAAATTTAGGCTTTTTCTACGGCGATCCGCAGTGTTGATCTGTCTATTTGATCAACTTTGTCTCTTTCCGTCCTCGTTATAGTTCCTTCGTAATATTTACGAATATTATATGAGTGAGATGGAGCTACGCCCCAGCCGCGTTAGATAAGCCGCATGAATTAAGGTGACGCTTCCGTCACGCAGGTGAGATGGAACGCTGGCACGCCGAGCTGCTAGAAACACTAGGACCCGAGCGTTGTCCGTTCGTCGACAACAACAAGAAGTGCGAATGCAACGTGTGTGCCGGATGGCGGTACCACGTCACAAATATGCATATCAATGCGGGAGGCATCCACTGGAAGAACTCCGACCGCCAGCGATGGCAGAGCGACTCGTGGCAGATAGCAAAGGTATCGTTGTTGTTGTTGTTGTTCGTTGTTGTTGTTGTTGTTGTTGTTGTTCGTTGTTGTTCGTTGTTGTTGTTGTTGTTGTTGTTGTTGTTGTTGTTGTTGTTGTTGTTCGTTATTCTTTATTCGTTGTTCGTCGACAACAACAAGGCTGATGAGCGGCATAAGACTAAGTGCAACGTGTGTCGCAGATGGGGGGAACACGTCAAGAAGATGCATATCAATTCGAGAGACATCTACTGGAAGAACTCCGACTGCCAGCGATGGCAGAGCGACCCGTGGCAGATAGCGAAGGTATTGTTGTTGTTGTTGGTGTTGTTGTTGTTGTTGTTTGTCGTTGTTGTTGTTGTTGTTGTTGTTCGTTATTTGTTGCTGTTGTTATTGTTGTTGTTTTGTTGTTTCGCCTCACTAATTGGGCCCCTATAGGCCAGGCGCAATATCTAGCCGCATCTAGCCGTGAGCGATTAATATCCAGCCGCGTAACATCTGTACTGCGTCGGTGGTGGGGGGGGAATTTGTAGCCTTTATTGGCCTGTAACGCTTTGCAGCGTTACAAAAATAGCTGAAATGGAATGTTATTATTGCAGGAGAACGGGACACATGCAGAGAGATTGCCCGCGACGATTGCAATGCGGCAATATTTCAGATAATCGCGCACCACGGACAGGAGTTGCCGAGAGGAGTCAGCAACTGTTATACTAGGATGGGCTAGGAATAGAGTCGGTAGCCTGGTCCATAGTAAGCCGACTGAGGGAGCTACACCACGATCTACTGGTTTCACACTCTCTCGGAAGGGCAAGATAGGAGAAGGCGATTATACAGGAAAACACGTAGGGATTAAAATACCGATAAATACAAAAAATAGTTCAGGCAAGGCTAAAGCTACACAGATACCTACTATCTCAGTAGCACCACTGCAATGTCATCCCACATGGGTGATACCTGTGAAAGTAGAGGGCTGGGACATGAAATTTTTAGTAGACAGCGGATCGAGTACAACGCTGAAAAATAAAAATAGGTTCAACGACATCAAAGCAAGTACAGGGCTACAGCTGATAACGAGAAAGAGAAATCTGAAGATGGCGAACGGCGAAGCAATGAATAGTCCCGGAGAGACTGTTGTCCATCTAGAAATCGCCGAGCATAACTACGATAAGAAAACCATGGTTATTGCACAATTAGAGGATTTGGATGGGATTTTGGTACTCGACTTTCTCGTCCCAAACAATGCTATCATGAACATTACAACAGGAATGCTATCGCTCAATGGGAGAGAGGTTCAAGGATTTTGGACAGGTGGAGAGAATGGTAGACCAGTATACGTGGATGAAGCAACGATGCTGAAGCCAGGGAAAAGATACAGCATCCCTGGATGGACTTATGCAAACGATAAGGTGTCCAGAGGGAAGCAGGTAAAGCTAATGCCTATCCCAGAATTTCAGAAGCTGGAGACACAGGGGAGTCGGATGGAGCAGATGGTATTCCCAAGGGAGGTGATGAACGTACCCTTGGTTATTTTCCACATAGGAGAGAAGCTTACCCTGCTGTTGGGGACCAGCAAGTAGGGGAACTCAAACCAGTGGAAGAGAGTGAGACACAGCAAGGACCGCAGTTGGTGAGCATGCTAGACGGCATCGCACCCACCAAGTTGGCTGACCACCTACAGAACCTACGGGATAGAGTAGATACATACGACTTTGACATTGAGCACCGGAAAGGACAGCATCACCAGAATGCGGATGCGTTGTCACTTAAGACAGTCAGGAAATGCCCGAACGAGAACTGCCTAGATAGCAGGCATGGAATGAGGGGAGCGGATGCCCGACCAGCGACGGAGATGCACCCAGGGAAAGAGGAAACGCACGTTCAGGAGGAAGAAGACGAGGAAAGTAGTAGCGATAAACCACCCAGCTGCAGTGGGGGACGAGAGGATTCTACATGGAGATTTGAACCACCCAGTCGTAATGGGAGGAGAGACGGTTCTTTATGTGAGGATAAGGAGCAGCGTGGGCAGGTGTTAGTAGTGACCGAGGGAGAGCGAGAGGATCGCCGAGAGAATCCCGAGGATCAGGGGGAAGACCATGATGTATGGAACCCGGAAAATATTAGAAGATTACAGGATAAGGACCTTGTGATTGTTTTCTTGAAGGAACGAAAAGAAGCGGCGTTGGACAGACCTGAGTTTGCAGAAATTGCAGGAATGGGATCGGAGGCGAAAGCGTACTGGGGGCAGTGGAATCAATTAGGGGTTCAGGAAGGTAAATTGTATAGACGATGGGAGGCGCCAGTCACGCTGACTCATCCCATACTTCAGCTGGTAATACCTAAAGAGTTGCAAAGAGAAATATTTCAGCAATTACATTACCATCGTACAGCAGGACATCAAGGAGAGAAACGGAGTAGGTCCAGCATACAGCAACGGTTCTACTGGCCACACTACACAAAGAATATCAAGAGATGGTGCCAGTACTGCACTGTCTGTGCTCGGAGGCAACCTGCAAAAGGGTTGAGAAGGGGAAGGTTAAAACAGTCGGAAGAAAAGGGGAAGGCAGAAGAGAAGTTGAGGGGAGTAAGAGTAGAATGGGGAAGACGAAGTCGTATCCGAGGGCGGACACTAATAGGAGTTGGGGGGAGTTGTGGAGATTTCGGGGGTGTGTAACTCACAGGAGCGGTAGACTAGATCAGGATGGATAGATTGAACTCCTGGGATTGATGGAATAACCTTATATTAACTAAAGACAGGATAAAATATAGACAGCACATAAATATCAACGTCCATGGGCGCAGCCATCTTGGATCAGGCTATCACTGCAACTGCTATGGTAGGGGAAAACAAGGAGTGTTTACGCGAAAAGCGATAACGCGATAAATAGATTATAATATTCAACGCGGTTATGTACTAGTGGTCAACATAATATATGAGGAGATTGAAATAGAATAAATAGTCTAAGTTGTCGAAGAGTAGGATATGTACTTAGAAACGGGTTGCATAAGATGATGTACCTATCGTACCAGACACGGGTTGCGGCATCGGGTGAGGCAATCATGGTACTACCAGGTACGGATTGCACCAGCGAACGAAATCTGCGCGCCAGCTAGGTATATAAGGCGCGCCGAATCGCAGAGCAGGAGCGTTATTTTTTAGGTACAGGTAGAAGGAAGAAAAAGGAAGAGGAAGAAGAAGGAGAAGGAAGAAGAAGAGAGAGGGAGCGGAAGCGTTGTAGAGTGAGAGGCTGGAGGCACAGGTTTTCAGGTAGGTGGAAACCGGAGACGGACGGGAGAGGGAAATAAAACGAGGACGGAGAAGAACGGGATTCCGGTTAGGTAGAGCCAGGAGCGACTACGAGGGAGACCCCTTGGAGACTGCCTAGGTCTACGCGAAGAAAAGACGAGCGCGAGAGAGGAAGACGAAACCGGCAACCCGTTACTTCTTCAATATTAATCTAGTGGTGATAGGATCCGCTGCATATACGAATGCAGGGGAATTATTTGTGAACTAGTAGGAATCAATAAAGCTATAACCGTACAGTTAACCGAATCTCACTGTGTTCTGTTCAGCTGGTGCGACCTGTTATCTGCTACGTGACATCACCGTCCTGCCTAGTACAACAGCAGGAGCGAACACTGAATCCAAACAACTGGGACACGCGTTAACTAAACAACGTCTGTCGTACCGTAGTCGGCTACCCCTAGGGCCACTACACTACGTATATATACACTTCTACAAGTGTATCCGCGCACCAAGTTTTGGTTATTATAAAGACATCTCTTGACGCCTATAGTGTGACGCATCAACCGAACCGTATAAGATCATTCTATATACTTGATATAATCTAATATCCTATAAGATTGTCTAAAATGCAAAATTTATAGGAATTTCCCACGGATATCTCTTTAGGATAAATGCCTCTAACCGTCTAACTATAATCATCGGAGTCGATCGGGTGAATTCCCGCGGACCCGCGGGACCTGCAATAACCCAGGTTCGAATCCTGGTCACGGCACCAATGTAGTCCTGATCGACGGCAGCCAATGTCATCCTGGTCACGGCACCAATGTAGCCGCTGGGTAATTCTGCTGCCAGACAACTGTGCGCTATAGCTTGCGTGCTATGTGCGCCGTGTAATTGCTTGACTAAATTTACAAATACGATAATAAAATGAGAGTAGACTGATGTTGGTTACAACTGCCGTTTCACTGTATATTTCATACTCACAAAACACACACACTACACACTACACATAGAATCTAGCAACCGAGGACTGTGAACATAAGAACCTAAGAACCTAAGAACCTAAGCCTAAGAACCTAAGCCTAAGAACCCCGTGTCGCTCGTGCGGGCTCTTTTATACCCCGATCTTGCAAGATGAGTCGCGAATTCCTTACCAAATATGTCTTCTAACCATCACTGCTGGCTACAAGGAAGGCATAGGTATGACGTAGGTAATGACGTAGGATGTCCGCTAGATTTACAAACAGGGCGGTCATCAGTCTTCTGGAAATATCTTCATTCCGGCCAATGTGCATATGTTCAGGGTGGAACAGCTGTTTAGCAGCTGTGTTGAAACCAAGTTCTGCTTAATGTGTTGTTTGTTCTTTGCCGACTGTTGCCCAAACTAATATAGTGATACGGCCACGGTGTATATTTAAATGTTATTCATTGCAAATTGACACGTACGATGTGGACAGTG